TTCTTCCAGCAGTTCGTAAGCATCATCCATCCTATCATTTTTACATATTTTTCCAAGAAGGTAGTTATATGTTTTGGCATTAGGAACACAACCCAATTCTCTCATCTCTGTGATTATACCATGGGCATCTTCTATACGATCTCTCCTGCAATTTTCTCGAATCAAAATATTATAGTATGAAACTTTCTTCTCTGTGATTTCCATCACATACTTGGCCATTTCAAACGAGTCAGACTTACAAAACATCTCAATCAACGAACAAATCCCAGAATTGCGACATGAGCCCCCAACTTCATTTAACAAATTTACCACTCTTCCCGTGGATTCCATTAATGAGTCATTGGTGGAAAACAAAACGGGTAAAAAGCCAAAGGCTTTGTGCATCAGGCAAATCTTTTCAGAGTTGAACTCCTCCAACAAGGAATTCATGGTTTTGTAATCATCTAAACATCCACAATTATCAATAATCAGACTACAAACATCAGCATTCATATGCAGCTTGGGTTTATTTCTCCAAACCCATTTAAAGAACCTCAATCCAGATTTTCTTTGCGAATTCAAAACCAGAAAAATCTTACTAATTGATCTGACATTCAATTTTGAAGTTGCCACATTCAACCTTGATTCCAAATCCTCCCCATTGTCAATGATATCAACAATTTCTGAAACAAAATTTGGCAGAACGTTCATTTCATTGCCATCGACTATTTTCTTTTCTAACTTATGTTCATCAGTACAAACAGCACCGACACTCTGAACTATATCTTCCTCAGCAGAAAGACAATTAAAAGTTGCACGGGAGGATGATACAGAAAAAGGCCTACAATGGCTTCCACGATGATCACGGCCAGAAACAGGGCTTCCACAACGATCACGACCAGAAATAGAGAATGTATTGTTACTATTATGATTATATATACTCCAAGGACTCAAAGACTTCGAAAATGGTGGTACTAAATAACAAATTTTTGAAGGAGACGCGGAAGAGAAATCATATAAATAGCGCTTTTTGTGGAGCGAATGCGATTCAAAATTGCAAATTGAAGATAACCCACGAGAGGAATTGGACAAAAATTTATTCTTGTGAGACAAACATGGATTAGGAGACCCGTATAAGAAACTGCATAAAACTTGCTTTTTCTGAGGTGGGTCAGAATCAGTACAGCAGATTGAAGGTGACCCAGATGAGAAATTGTACAGAAAAGATGGCTTGTGAAATAGCTTTGGAGTATTGGTACAGAGAAGGGTGGGGTTGAAAACGTACCTCATAGGACTTTTGGCTCTGTAAGAATTGTTTGAGACTCTCATATCTGCCCAGTTCTCAACTCATATCTGTATTTGCTGTTCCTATTCTTCTCCCTATGTCAAGACCGTCGGCGGCGATTTGAGCAGAGACACTGGATGTGGTGGCTGGTGGCCGCCCTCTTCAGTTTAGGATTTTAGGTCGGGTCTGTTTGGTTTGGATCATTTTGTGGAGTTTAGGACAAGTTTGGCTAATCTTAAAAGTTCACTTATGAGCAAAAAATAGTAGTTTTATAACATATAAAAGGGGATTAACATAAACCGTCGTTACCTTTCTATGTTATTGTGCAAAAAATCCTTACTTTTCATTTTTTGACATTTTCATCCTTATATTCACATTTAATTGCGGAACATATCCTTTCATCTAATTTTTCAATAAAAAATGTAAAATTACAAATATATTCTCATATTTAAATAAAATAAAATAAATAAGAGAAAAATTTTAAAAGTAAATTACAATTGTACTCCCAAAATTACAAATGAGTCCAAATATAATATTAAAATGATAATTAGTACAAAACTCCCTTTCATTTTTTGATGTTTTTACCCTTAGTTTCATATTCCATTGCGAAAATCATCATTTTCGTTTATTTTTCCTTTAAAAGTTGTAAAATGATAAGTGTACTCTCCTTTTTAAATAAAACAAAAATAAAGAACAAATTACAATTACGCTCCCAAATTATTTAAAAAAGTATAGATAAATTTCAAATAAAAAATTAAAAAATCAATTTTCTTTTTTTAAATTATTTATTTGAAATTTATTTGTATTTTTTTAAAAAAAATTAGAAGTATAGTTACAATTTGTTATTTATTTATCTTTTCTTTATTTTTTTATTTAAATAGGAGGGTATATTCGTCATTTTATAGATTTTAATTAAGAAAAATAATGAAAATGATTATTTTCGCAATGTAATGTGAAAATAATGGTGAAAATGCCAAAAAAATGAAAAATATTGACGTTTTGCACAATAATATAGAAAGATGAAAACGTTTTGTACTAATTACTTTTTAAAAAATTTATTTGGACTCATTTGCAGTTTTTAAAAAATTTGGGCGTATAATTGCAATTTGTTATTTGCTTTTTCCTTTTTTTTGTTTTATTTAAATTAAATGGTATATTTGTTACTTTACATTTTTTATTGAGAAATTGGATGAAAATAACATTTTTCACAATGAAATAGAAAAATATGGATGAAAATATCAAAAAATGAAATGTAATGACGTTTTGTGCTAATTACCAGATGGAATATTCGTCATTTCACAGCTTCTACTGAGGAATTTGATGAAAATGGATAGAATTGATGGTTTTGCACAATTAAAAGTATAATTAAGGGTGAAAAAAAATCAAAAAATGAAAAAGTATTGACGTTTTCACAATAATAGAGAAAGGTATGGACATTATATGTTAATTACTATTTTAATAATTTATTTGGATTCATTTGCATTTTTTTTTAAATTTAGAACTATAGCTGCAATTAGTTCTTTATTTTTCTTTTTCTTTTTCTAAATAAAAAGATATATACATCATTTCACACCTTTTAACTGAGAAAATTAATGAAAATAAGGGTGAAAATCCCAAAAAATGAAAGGTGAGATGTTTTCCACAATAATTATGAAAAATAAAGATATTGTGTGCTGATTATTCATAAATAATTTGTAAATCCATGAAACTTATTTAAACGCGACCCCATGCACTTGCTATTTTGAAATTTCTTAGCGAACACAATGGCTGAAAACTACACACTTGGCACAATTACATCCTTCCATTTTAAAAATTGTTAAAAACTATTTTTTATATCAATGGTATCAAAACATGGTTGTCAAACAAAGTTTTCAACCTTAGTTGCACAAGTAGTCTTATTGTATATGTTATAATCATAGAGTATAATGCCATATTTATGCAAGAATAAGTTATTTTAGTATAACGAGAAATTAAAAGAAAAAAAGGAACAAAAAAAAAAAAAAAAAAAAAAAAGAAACAAAAAAAAAAAAAAAACAATGTACGATAATATTTATAAATTGTTCAACTCTTCAATAAATAATGGAGTTTATGTACAACGACATGAACGATCCATTGTTTTCATATAACACTTAGCCCTTGTTTGAGCCCAATTATTCTCAAAGTTCCTTTTTTTTTTTAAACTCATTTTCAACTAAATATTTTTCCATAAAATAATTTTACAAATTCAAATTTTTTTCCTATTTTTTAACCAAAAATCATTATTTTAAAATACATTATCCCAAAAAATGGGTCTCAAATAGGGTTTATATTGAAGCATTTACAATACTAATAAATTTGTCAACACAAGCTTTAAAACCAATAAATTAATACAAGGTTCAATCATAAAATTTAAGCTTGCAATCAATCTTAGATAAGAAAAATATTATTCATAAATAAATTATTATTTTCCAAAAAAAAAAAATCAATAGAAGTCTACTAGTAAGCAACGTTGTAGTAACAATTTATCTATTAAATAATATATTTTGGGTGTAACATATAAATTATTTTTCAAAAAAATCGAGTGAATGATTTGATTTTGTTTCAAGCTACTGATATTGGAATTTTAGTCAAGAATTAACGACTAATCCCTTTCTAGATAAAGGTTTCTAAACAAAATCAACAAATAATCGCTCCACGTCATCTCTAGAAACAGCTCGGCCAAAGTTATATTTCGACTTAGAGATTTTTGTTGTGATTGAGGAATATCATCATTATTGATTTGACTAGACGACATCAACACATATGCTTTGACTAATATCCAATGACACGTGACATGGTTGACGTAAGCACTTCATGACCAACCCCTCATCGATCAACAATGATGGGAATAATAGTAATTATTCCAAACATCATGAAAAGTTACAGGTAGCCAACCTCCTCATCTACTAAAAACGTGTCCCAGTTAAATAATTCGGCACACTTAGCCCATATTCGGCACCCATTAATTAGAAAATATATTTTTATCTATCTTCTTTTCAACTACATATTCTCCAATCAAAATAATATTACACGTAAACTCAAAAAAAATTCTTCTTCTTAACCATACATCTTCAAGAAATAAAAATACTTTTTAATTTTTTCCAAAAACTAATTATAATAGAGCTCAAATAGGGGCTTAATAAGGAGGCTGCCATCCGAAACACTATAGACAGAGTCATCGTGACAATCAATTTGCCAAATTTGCGTTATAAATTGAGGCCATTAGTTCCCTTCATGGAGAGCAGATTATCAACCTTTCATTCTTACAATGTCCAAGTGAAAAATTAATAAATTAATTCTTTTCTATTCTCGTTAATTACCTCGCTTCAAATTAAAATTAAGTTTATCAAAATTGACTATATTAATTTTGAATGTCAACACAAGCAATTTGTAACGATTGAAATCTAAACAGAACAATTCTGATGTTTTTATTTAATCTTAAAATAGGTAAATCCTAAATCACATAAATCTAAGTCAACTATCTTCAATTTTATCCTTGATTTAACGACTTTAACGTGTTTTTGTTCATCCCTAATCCAAGCATGACCAGTATAGAGTACGTGTTCCATTGGACCGAGCAGGGCAACGTGCGAATTCTAACTGTTCAATTGCAAATTTGCAAAAGAATCACGAGCAAAAACTTTGCAAAATACAAGAGTAACCAACCATTAGTTCACCGCCACGTGTACAATGAATTATAAGGGGTGTTTGGTACACCACGTTCCTTTTTTTCCTCCCCCACAGCTGCCTCGAAAAAGTGCGTCACTTTGGTCCGCTCCTTTTTGCACAAAATAACCAACCAGAATTTCCTCTCTCCGTGGAAAATAAACACAGAGTCGAAAACCCACAAAAAGTTGTAGACGAAAATGGCATCATTTGCAGAGGCACCGCCTGGAAACTCAAAGGCAGGAGAGAAAATTTTCAAGACCAAGTGTGCCCAGTGCCACACTGTTGAAAAAGGCGCCGGCCACAAACAAGGTATATGTGCATAATTTCGTTGTTGGTTGTATCTGATCTGTCCCTGAATTTATTGGAACAAGGATTCGTTTGTTTTTCTGTTGATAAATCTGATCTGTTGTACTGTGTTCTATTTATTTGTTGATTCAAGTCTGAAAAATCAATTTTTTTCTTCATTCATATGATTTTCTTTTGATTTTATGAACAATAAATTTTGGGCTTTTAATATACAGTTCTAATTCTTAGATAGTTGAGATCCGAAGCTGGAACTGTGAGGATCTTTCTATTTTCTTCAGCTATTGGATTTTGAATTATTGACTAAGATACGGTATTATGTTGTATTTTTTTCTTTGTTACTTTAGGATATATTGGGTCGGGAAGAAGAACAGTAAGAATATTGCTTGATGTTTTAATGTGTCTGAAGATTGTTAATTCTCATACAAATAGGCGTCTATAAGCAAACCAAAATCATGAGGGGCAATTGAAAATAATTGCATTGGTGTTTTGTAGAGCAGAAAATCGGTAGCTGTTTAAATTTAATATTAGACTGAAAATATGTAGTCAAATGAGATTTTGATGGATTTTGAAAGATTATAAATTCATATGAATTTCTTGGATTTGAGCAAATTTCCACAAAATTCATAAGAATCTCATAAAAAATGTCAATTTCAAAAAAATTTGTTATAAGTATTTTTACGTTGAAATCTATCCAAATATTTTAAATTCCCTTTATTAATAAAATTCTTATAAATCCATGAGTTATTGAGGACTCCTCAATTTCATTAGAATTCATTAAAATTCAAGTTGGGGACACCTAGATTTTAGTGAAAAATCTATTAAAATCTCAATTGGGGACACCTGAATTTAGAAGGATTTTTTAAAGTCCATCAAAATCTTAGTTGAGGACACCCCCGAAATGAAATTCTGAAAGGGTATTACTACCTTTTTCAAAAAGGTCGCGACTTCTATCTTATTAGCTAGTTGGGTGAGGCAACTAGCTTACAAGGCAATGAGAAATAGAGTATCCATCAGTTCATGGTCGTTACCTCCGTTTTTTCTACTTATGAATAAATCATCTGATGCACTTTCTCCACTTGATTGTTAAGTAGGACTTACTATGATTCCATTCAGTAATTTAGACTACCTTTGGTAATATGAGCTGCATAGTTTATGATATGTGAAAAGGGAGGGGAGATCTAGAGCAAGGGAAAAAATAAGGAAAAAGAAGAAGAATAAAGGTTAGAGTGGGTATGGGCGTACAATTTATTTGAGAAGTTCCCGAAATTATGTTCAATTGGATGGTATTGAGGAACAACTATGGCATATGCGGTATACCATCTGCTAATGGGTTTGTGACTTTTAGGTACCGGACGTTAAGGTTTTGTTGTGAATAGAGTATTTCATTGAAATCTAGTAGAATTTCGTCGTTCTTCTTAGAATTTGAATGACCCTTTTGTGTGGATGCATTCCCTTTATTGTCTGAAATGAAGGAGAAAAGGATAAAAATGTGCACCTGGTTAATTCCTTTGATATTGATGGATGTGTGTGTCTATATGTATGATTTTTTTAAATATCATTCCTGGAGTCCCATAGGTTTGAACATATTGAATTTGACCCATTTTCTCATTGAACAAAAGGGTGCAAAGTCAATTGGATTGATTTTTCAATCAAAAGTACAATACAAAATCATTGCTATTCCATTATTAGGACAAGACTACCTCTTTTGCTAGACTCATTGTCCATGCCACTTCATCAAAGTTTGGTTATTATCCTAACTTTTCCAGAAAAAAACCTCAGTTGGAAACCAAAAAAATGGAAAAGTACAAGATGGAAGAGAGGAAAAAATCTTTCTGCTGTCTCTGGTTATGTACCATTGTTTCCTTGCTGAAAGAAGACTACCATAAAATTGAGCAGAAAGAAATCAAAGTCAGTCTGCTTGTTGATCAATATAAGTGTAATAATCGTCTTGCTTTCAAATGCTTCAACACTCTCCCTCTCTTGTTATCACGTTATTTTCCTTGTCCAGCAGCTCTACTTTCAATAGCTTCGAACATGTTCTCCGTATTTACCCATAGATGTAGCAAATAGTTGATGGATGGTATAAACGAAATACTTTTCCTACTGTATCGAAGAAAATGGAATATTTTTCCTACTTGGAGATTTTGTTTCTGCTGTTTATGTAATCTGATGAAGTGCCAATGCCTTCAGGTCCCAATTTGAATGGTCTCTTTGGAAGGCAATCTGGAACAACGCCTGGTTATTCCTACTCTGCTGCTAACAAAAACATGGCTGTTATTTGGGAGGAAAAGACACTGTATGATTACTTGCTGAACCCCAAGAAGGTACAACACTGTTTAGACCATATTTAAAGTTCACGTCTTTTGTCAATAAAATTTGTGATGACTGTGTTAGGGGTTCTAATTTTTTGCTTTCCCTTACATAGTTATGTTTATGTTAAGACAGTAATTTAATCTATGCCAAGTTAAGTACAATTTGCACCACATGGATTATCTAGGTGATGAAGCTACAATTTAAATCCTCCTTTCTTTATGGATGAATAATTTGAATAACATGGGATACTCTATTAACTTCTCAATATTGTTCACTCAATTAATTTGATAAATTATGAAGATAATGATATGTCTGTTTCAGAGCTAGACCTCTGAAGAAATGGTTTTGAGGTCAGTGTCCTACAAAGTAAACAAGATACTTACTAAAAAGAAAAGAAGAGAAATTTGGGTTTCAAACAAGGTGGGATAATTTATGAGAAATACCAAACCTATTTGCTCAAGTATTGAGTTAAGAGGAGGTCAACTTGTATTCAGACTATGAAACCTTTGCACTGCTCCCTTGTGAACATTATATAAAGATGTATTTCGACCCGTCTCAAAACTAGCATATAGTCAGTGGCAAGACAAGGCTATGAGTATCTCCTGATGCCTCCAATCCTTAAGCTTAAAGAGTTGAAGACTAAGTTTCAATAATAAATGTCCCCTTTCACACACAGATTAAGATTTAAGATGAGATGGTTCAAGACAAAGGTGTCAAGATCAAGTCTCACTGTCACTCACTTTTGGAAATTGTGCGTGCTTGAGGCCTTTGATAAAATAAGATGAATTTGGCTTGCATGAAATGGGCTATCTTAATCTTTTCCATGAGGTGGTTTGATATAACCTTTTTAATCAAGAAAAAGGAAAATAGTTCTCTCACATCTAGTGGAATGAGAATGTCTTCATTAGCTATATTTGGAAATCTTTGCTTTCATATTTTGCGTATTTGCTAGTTTCTTGTGTTGGACTAATGTTGGATCGTGTGCATTTCTTTTTATGCAGTATATACCAGGAACAAAGATGGTTTTCCCAGGACTGAAGAAACCACAAGATCGTGCTGACCTCATTGCTTATCTGAAAGAGTCTACATCTCAATGAATGTCTAGTATTCTGTGCACGTCACCATTTTGCAGTTGAGAAGCGTAATATGCTTTATTCGGGGAAGACAAAAATAGTTCTTTTTTGCAATAAATAGATCATTGAATGGTCTACTGTGCTCCACATTTCCTGGAGTCATTATTGTAGTCATTGCCTCTTTAGAGAGGTGTTGCCCTTGTCAAACTGAAATTCGAATTAAACTTGAGTACATCCTGTAACAGCATGAATAGATTGGCTTCAATGATTGAGGACTATTTGATGTTGTTAAAGCTTATATGTTAGGTTAATATTTTCATTGTTCGTGCCCGTGTTTATCAAAACATATTCTTTGCACAATCAGGGCTGCCCATGGGTCCCCTACACGGGAGCCCAATCATGCAAATCGATGTGGCCCCACCACATTTTAACATCCCTAGTTGTAATCACGGAGTTGCTGAGCAGTCACTCCCATAATCCGTTCTCTTCGGAGTATTTCGTTCATTGAAGGTTGAAAAAAGAGTAATGTTATTTAGTTCCATTGGAATTGCAATCTCAATTTAAATAATACTAATGTGACATTAAATTATAGGTTAAATTAAATAATTCATTTAATATCATTTTTCATTTAGTCTTATAATCTAGCGTCACCTACGCTGAGGATCCAACTCTACTGGGGCTACATAGCATTACTCTTGAAAAAATAATTTTTTAGGCATAATATGATATATGCTTTCCTATTATGCACCCCACATACTGCGAGTGCATTTTGAGTTTTCAAATATCTCGCTCTTGAGCACACTAAAATATTTATTCAGACGGAGTAATTCTTGTTGGAAAAAAGTTCATGTAATTTGGCTACAATTTTATTTTCTGAATATCAAAGGTATCAAAACTCTTAAGGCCCGTTTGATTTTTGTTTCAATTTTAAGTTCATTTTCAATTTTCTATTTTAAAAATTTGTTTTAGGATTGTTAAAAATGTGTTTAGTTTGTTGTTTTGAAAAACTATTTCTCAAAACAAAAAATTAGAAAACATGCTTGTGAATTTTAAATTTTTATTCAATTAAGAGCTTGAACTATTTTTTTTTTTTTTTAGAATTTTATTTTTCTATTTATAATTCTATTTTTTATTTTTTAGCTTTGAAATTTTATTTATTAAAATATTATTTTGTTATTTTTCTAAAGTTTTAATTTTTAAAATCTATATTTAAATAAGATTTTATTTTAACACTTATTTACCTGTTTTGATATAATTTTATTTAAACGTTTGATTTTCATGTCTTTTGAATTTTTACTAAAAACACTTAAAATGTCAAAAATGCGTTTTAAGTTTTCTATTATAAATTTAACCTTATTTTTTAAAATACATTTTTAGAAATACTAGATCAAATACTGAAAAATAGTTCGAAAACAGCAATCCAAAGGTATCATTAACTTTTGGTACAAGTAAATCCATTTTTCATGATACTAAAAACAAATCTCTCATCAACGCAACAGCTGCATCACACGATCAGTTCTAATTCCTAAATATTAATTTAAGACCTGGACATCGAAACGATAATTTTAAACATGGATTTGGTTCAGCAAATCCGATCTTATTGCTCAAGGTTTTGACACTGATGGACGAAGAATCCCTGGAATCTGCAGCAAATAATAATCAAAATAGAATGATTTCAGAACGTCTACATGAAAAAGTGAAACCAAAATTGAGGGAGAAAGAAAGCAAATCTTTTTAATCCTAACAGTTTGTTTTTCAACATAACTGACAGAACACTGACCTCAACGCCATGAGGGCCTATTCGATTCCTATGTATAAAATTAAGCACCAATGTAGCAAATTCCTCAGGCACGTCCTCCTGTTATATTCAAGAATTCAATACATATATCTTTTCTAAATTCTATCGAGTGTGCTACACATCCAGGGTAAAAAAAGGCTTAAAAACAGGGGTGACACGTGTCGCCCGGCGATTGGATAGTTTGAAAAATTAAAACAAAAAACACCCAACCAATTGCCGCCACCTCAATCTATCTTCTCCTTCCTTGTTTTTAACCCTGGCTAACTGACTTTATACAAATTCTATTCAATAAGAAGAAAGAACAATGGTCATGAAGATAACTGGATCGTACCTGTATGGCGTGGCCTGTATGTCGGACGACTACCATTTGAAACTTCCCTTGCATTTGACCTATTGTGAGAGTTCTGAGACAATAAAAAAGAAATTCGACCAATTCATTTATTTGGATACAAGTAAAACATATTTCAAATTTCATATATATGCAGCAAATAACTATGCCCCTTCAAAAATATACTGGAAAGGGGATACACTAGTCACCGGCAAGATAACAAATTCCAAACTTCAATTAGAAAAATATACAGAAGCTTTATCACAAGCAATCATAATTAGAAAAAATATACTTATCAGCATATGGTTCTTGGACCAAGTAATTTTTCCTAATTATTTTGTTTTATGGAATCATATATGACATAAATATGATGCTAAATATTTATCACTTGAAAATCAAATTACGAATCTCATGCACATGGAATTTTGTCGAAGAAAAAAACATCCTTTATCCTGGTGAAGTTTAATAGTTAGCATTTGCATACATGGAGATACAGGAAGTTAATTATTACTGCAGTCTTGAATCTTTATGGATACGCAATTTAATTCTTCCAATACATTGAGATGTGACTTAATTATAGGCCATCAAAAGCCCCACAGGAAAATATTTAGCAGTCATTTCTACATTAAAAAACTGTTGTCAGGCTACCACATACAGGCCAACAAAAGCAAATTTTAAGTAATATATGACCATTAAAGAAGCATCCATAATTTATTTTCCAACAGTAATCACAAGAACAGGATAAAATTTTGTAAAAATGAGTTTGTGAACAAAAAACCTGTCCAGTCTATCTGTCCCAGCTAAAAGCAATATTTTTGGTACGGGAGATGACAAGAATTTTTCTGAAAGGCCTTCATACCTGAAACAACATCAGCCAAATTCAGATACATAATTTTCTAGAAAAAAGTACTTACAAAATTTTAATGCACAGAAAACTTAATAGTTCCAATACCACACGGCTATTGATATGAAACTACTCCAGAAACAAGATTGCAACTATGAAAAATAGTTTAGCAAGAAGTTTAACCTCGAATGCATTAGTCTCCTGAACAATTTATAGGAAAAACAAGAGACCACAGACAATGCTATGCACACAGCTGCTAGGTAAAGCAAAGGGTTTCTGATATCCAGTGAAGATTTCTCATATAGAACTTACAGCTATAATTTTCTGGAAAGCCATTTCTTAAAATAGATTAGTTAAAAAGGGAAAACAATGAAGCTATATCGGTAAAATAGTACTGTTCCTAGTCAGCATTATTGGACAAAACACAATAACTTGTTAGCAATGGCCCTGGAATTACAGTATTTGATTATTTGGAATCGAGTCAATTAATTTCACATTACAAATTCCATGATGTGACTTTATTCCACAAATTTTGTGACCCATATCGAAACTAGACACAAATCAAATCCCTGCCCACAAATGATCTATGTGCCGGTTGTAGAATTGGGAAGAGGAATACCAAAAAAAATGCAGGCAGAAATTATTTGAGTAGACAAGGCAGGTTGTAATGTGGCGACGGCTATAAGAAAGCAAAATAGTGTGAAAAAATTCTCTCATAGGACCATGTCAACCCTATAATAAATAATAGGGATGCAGCAGGATTAGTAAATTGGACAAATTCATAGATTGGAGCCCAGAGAAGGATACTAATAATAGGCCTGGCTCACTAGACTGACAGTTGTTAATTTTCCTGCTCCTTCCCTGGTGCCTTAAAGAGACAGTTCTTCTTCTTTTTCTCCACCTCCCCCCAGAATTTGGTTTTCTAGTTTTTCTTTTCTTTTCAGGACAAAAGATCTGGGATAGAAAGAGTGAAGATAGTTCATCCAAGATAGTGATTTATGGTGCCAAGTGGAGAGATTTAGTTTAGCTACTACGTAAAAAATAAAAAAGGACAAAAAATGTAAGATATGTGACATATCGTATCTCTACAGCCGATGATACAATTTATAAGTACGAAAGGCAAAAATACAGTAATGCACAGCTAAACATTTGATCAGATGTAGAAGGCAAATGTAGATCAACAACTATGACCAGTTGCATGAATTAACACATTAGCTAGTAGAAAGAATAACTCATCCCAGCCTCTCCAATATTGTTCCGTTTCTTCCAGTTTAGCTCGGTGGGTGTAACTGCAGCATCAAAGTCCTTGAAGTGATTAACTGTGTGACAAAAGCACAAAACAAACCAAAATCTACAAAAGCACAACCCATACAATAAGCATACTCACCATTTTTTCGCCTCATCATATTTTAATGTGCTGGGAATTGAGAGGCGAGCAGATTCAATATTTCTCAAAGAGCCTCCTTTGACACTCCATTCGATCTATAAAAACATACATTTCTAAAATCATTACACCATAACTATCACTTTTAACAAAACTAATCTGCACTTGATACGAGAAAGCAATGACGGTATATTAAAGGAGAAGCATTCAACAACTCCCATTCTTCTTGGTAGCTACTTCTGACGTAGATACCTCATACCGGATTCCATATTTTAGTATCAGCAATGTTGCTTTTAATCTAATTGACTCCATTGTGTCAACCAATCTGTAGTTGTCATTCAAGGAAGCGTCTACCACTTACTGTTTGATAAATGTCAAGGGTTTAAACAGATGCACATCTTGATAACCAAAACAAAAGATATTAATTTGTGAAACTAATATTAGTATCAACCTATAATGTTACAATGATTAACTAACAATTGGAAGAGCACCTTATAGGTGCAAGGAAAAAATATTCTTATATAGACATGGTATATGGCAACCGAAGGAGGATATGATGGCACGATACAGATTGGAGAATGGAGAATCGGATTTAAAATTATAAAATGTTAATAAAATACTATTGAAATTATGCTTTGGGTTATTAGATAATTAATAAAGATGATAACATATAGATTTCTACATAGCATTCTTAAAATTTAACAGATAGAAAAAACACCACTCCCATAGAATCAGTTACCGCTTTCTCAATGGATGAAAAATGCTGCATTCGGTTTGATAGAATCTTTTGCATATGAACCAATGACGCCATTGCAGTCCCCTGCAATTCAGGTAATTATCAGTAAAGATTTAATTAGAGTTTGACAGTTACAGTTTCATTTTAACTTAATCTAATCATTGATAAAGAATAGATCGACAGTTGACGTAATTCTGAAACTTTTATGTATTAATACAAACCTCAACAACATCTACGACAATTAGGCCAGCCAAGCTAGGAAGTGCCTTCTTTGCAGCAACATGAACAGCAACTGAGCCACCCATGCTGCATGAAAATTACAGAACTAAACCTCTAAGAAATTTATGGTTAAGAATAGAATAACAAATTAAAGTACGTTGAAGATGCTTTTCTAAGGAACTTCCTTTTGATATATTATGATAAGCATGAAAATAATTGTCTTTTGACAAGTATATGAATAGAATAATGATGCAGGCACTATTAACCAGGATTAAAGATTGATATGTCAATATTTCATGGGCGTCATCAAAGATCCAAGTAATTTCCATGTATTAATAATACAACAATAGAATGGAAACTAAGATAAAAATATAGGGTATTCGATTTAAATCCTGCCTAAAAAGAAACAGACAAGCTAACTTTGAAATTATTTCAATTTTTTATTTATTTTTTATTTTTTAAATTTAGTCCAAAGTAGTAAGACTATATAAAGCATCATTGCTCTTGAATATCTGAACTTTTATGTCCTCAACTCAACTGAATGTAACCAAATCTACTAAAAGGCCTCCACATCTAACTCATAGGAATCCTCCTTTTTGTTATATATAAAATAATCTTTTTCCCTTGATAAATCTTAGCAGGTGATTGGACAATATAATCTTGAAAGAATACTAAAAGGATAGAAGCCAAAAGTAAAGGGCACAACCTGTGGCCAACAAGTACAATTGCTGGAGGAGAATCTCCATACATTTTCTTCAGAACAGCAAGTACATCATTGCACAGAGTCTGCAATAATTGTAAACAATTTCAACACTTGCAGAGGACTGTATAATGATAAGTATGCAGAAATAACTCTACAAGCCAAGAAGTGAAGTAGATGAACTTAGCAAATAATCATCTTCATTTTGATTTGTCTTTAAGTATATACCTCAATTGATAGATCTAATTCATCCTCTGTGGATGACATTCCATGCCCCCTCAAATCCATGGCTACAACCCGAACTTTCTCCTTCATTTTACTTGCTGATAATGCAAATGAAAGCCTGAGGGAAATGATCAAACAATATGTAACTTAGGTCGTTCAAAAATTGGAAATATATCCTTATTGCAACTATAAGAAATCATTCAGATAAAAAAAAAATTACAAAAGTCGTGATTCTTGCGAAATCTATTAATTATGTAGATTACTTTTCGAGAGCTTTGAGTCATAGGCAGCTCATCAAATCAATTGCAAGGGTATTCAAAGACCAAATTTATGAGTTATAACAGTCCAGTTCAACAAGATTAATAATTTACTCAAAATAAATATAGGACAGGGGAGGCATAGAAGAATGTTATAGTTAAGATGTCTGGTGAAGAGACAACTCAAAGGTTCTAATTAATAATGATAAAAAGCTAGATGCTTGGCTACGTCATTTTCTCAAGAATTTAGAGCTCAGTGAAGGCAAATTCATGTCATCACATCAGAAAGGATAAAATTTTATGCAGCAAACGGTTCAATTTTTGTGCGTGTAGAGCAATAAAACTTTCACATTGAGCAGGCTCCTTGAGAGGTCATACTGCAAAGATAAACGAAGTGCACAAAAATACATGATAAAGCTTTCATGTTTCTCAAAGGATAAATTCTCTCGAGAGTATCCATCGTTTGACATTAAATCAACATAAAAAGACAGAAAATGGAAAATGAAAACAGAAATAGTAAGATTATTGTGACGGGCAAAATTAAGTAATATTGCACAGTTGCACATTCATGTTTCTAATTTGATGAAATATATGGC